GGAATGTTGGTTTCTGGTTTTGCCAGGGGTTTTGAAGAAGGATGGCTCACAGAGGAGAAGGCTTTCTTTTAGCCTCCCACTGCCGTGGACTGTGTTGTTAATCCACAGCATCTTGAGTAGAAGAAATCTTTCAGAGTCATGCACACACCATGGGCTGGTGGGGGTGACCCTGTTCTCATCCCTCCCTGCTCAGCTGAGGTGCAAATACTGAACTTGGTCTCATAAATCCATTTTTCTGGTCAAGACAATATTCTCTTCTTCGTACTCCTGTTCCTCAAGGCTTGTCTGCGCTGAGGCACTGGCAGGCATTGCTGCAGCAGAATGATTACTGCACTGGATGAATTCCCCATGTAGACGAGCCCTGGGCATCACCTACACTCCCAAGGAGGGCTGGGAGGTGGCAGCAGCAACACTGACAGATGGAGATAGTGCAAGAGGAGGCTCTTCTCATCCAGATGTCACCAAGCAGAAGGATTGTTTCAGGCATCAGCGAAACACAGCCACCTCAGTGGGAGAGGGAAGATGCTTTCAGCTGTCCCCTGGTTCAGAGAAGGAAAGAAAAATCTCTCCCCTCCAGCAGAAACCACAGGGAAACCGTATGGAGCCAGACTGTGACTTACCCATTGGAAGAGCCCCATAGCTCTGCTCCCCAGCCCCATGCTGTCCTTGGCACCGAGCAGGGCTGGTTTAATCCTCCTCACATGGCCTCTGCTGCGAGGAGCGGCTGTTCTGCCATGCCGGCCCAGCTGCTGCTCCCCCTGTGTCCCCAGCTCACCGCAGCAGCTTGTCGCTCTCGCTGGATGCCCCACGCTTGAGCAGGATGTGTCAGATCTCGTTTGCAGGGAAAGGAGCGATGCTCGTTAGCCTGGGATGTGCTCTGCTCTGGCACCACACTGGATCCTAACCTTGCCAGCTGCTCTACAGCTCCCATCCCTGCTTCTCAGCCTCCCTGCTTACCCGTGATGGGAGGTGAGGGCAGAGCAGCCTTGATTTGAACTTTCAGGTTCCTCACCCCAAAATCCGTCAATCAGCTTCTTCCCCCTCTCTCCAGCCTGGGAGTTTGCGTGTGGATAAAGCAAAATCTTTCTCCTGTCTATGCTAGTTGGATCCACAGGGGTAAAGCAGGACTGGCTGGCAGGGCTGCTGATTTTCACAGCCTAAATCTAAGACCCCCTTAAAAAGTCCAATCTTTACAATAACTGAGCAACCACTGACTGAAAATTAGGCCTTTAGAAGTACCTATTTGACACCCTGCCCTAGGACGTAGCCCCAAGCACCACTTACATTCATCAGCACGACCAGCCTTTAGCTGATGAGAAGTTTCCACACCAGGCTGGGAGCAGACTGTAACTCCATGATGCACTGCGTGTATTTTTAGATTTATTTTTATTAACGTCATTCTATTTTTAAGGCTGATTTATTTTTATCACCATGACAGAGGCAGGTCTGTGGTTTTACGATGGGACATAAATCCTGCTTAGACTTCAACCTTTTTAGGTCAGGGATTTTATCATCTCTGTGAGCATCCCAAGTGATGGGTGCTAGGGGTTTCCCCTGCCCTCTGTCCTTTTAGTCCATGAGGAGGATGGCCTAAGGTTTGTCCTATCTGGACAATGAAAGCCTTGAAGGTTTCCCCTGTGAAGAGCAGCAGAGCCAGTTTTGAGGTCATCCAGCACATTTATAGCTCACCTGACTTCAGCCTTGCCCTTGGAGCTGCTCTCTGTGGCAGCGTGGGTACATCCTTGTCCCAAAGCTTCCTTGCTCCAGGGTGCAGGCAGACTTCTGGGCAAGACTCGCCCTCAGTGGCAGTACCACCAGCTCCTGGCACACATACAGACGGAGGCCCCCAGGTTGTGTATGCTCTGTCTGGTGTGACTTGAGCTCTTACCCCTTCCCAGCACTGAAGACAGCTTTTGCGTTCGAGTTTTCTGTAAGATTTGTCCATACAACACGCTGACTCATGATTCCAGCCACCAAGTACTACTTCAGTGTGAATAATCATCCGCACTGAAAACGGAGGCTCTGAAACACTAGGAAATGCCAAAATATATTTTTGCTTGCCTGACCTTAATTTGCCTTCCCTCATGCCTTTGCCGTGTGACTCACTCTTTAATTAAATGATTGCTGCCCCCCTGACAAATTTGAAACCCGCATTGCAAAGCACCAGCTCATCAGAGTCTTTCAGAGGGAGCACCAACATCTGCACATGAGCAAAATATAATCTTTCTCCTTCCCCCTGCCTTGGAAACGGCCAAGCCAGTTGGTCTGACATGACAGCAAATACATAAATAAATGGATGCTGCTGAGAGTCTTCTCCCTGCAGACGTGACACGGTGGCCATGTCCAGCTGCCATGTGGGATGGGACAGGTACCTCTCTGGGACAGGATGTGGTCCTCATCTTAAGAGGTTCAGCCAAAATGCTCCATCCCCCTGGCAGGTGTTGACTGTGTTGCTTGAAGCAAGAACGAGGAAGGTTTCTCATCTTCTGGGACTTGCATCAACTCTCCTTGCTCTCCATATTTTGGACAGATGTGGAGTGTGCTGCCAGCGCTGCAGCTCCTGCCACATGCTGGGATACCTCTTTGTGAAATCCAGGAGGATTCATCCTTTTTCACTGGCCTCCTTTACCAGCACCGGTAATGTTTATGAGAGCCTCCGTTTTCGCTGGCATATGCAAATCCTGATTTGTGAGCACAATTACCTGCTTTGTATGCACAAAACTGATTCACTTGCACATTCTGTGGGCATCGCTTAAGAGACCTGCTGGAGAATCGGTCCCTCAGGGCCAGGTGGTGAAAAAAAACAGCCTCTGATTTTGTGCTGTCAGGCTTGCTGGAGCAGTGGCATAAGTGAGATGGATAGCTACCTTGATTAGCAGGTGCAAATGCGTTAATTTTTCCCCCCGTCTATAAATCAGACACTTCTCCATTGAAATTCTCTCCTTTACATCTGCAATTGGTGGCACCCCCAAAGCAATAGGCACAGGTTTGTAAGATGAGATGCGGTAGTGAAGGGTCTTTTCTGGAGATTGGCAGGAGGAGAAAGAAAAAAAAGGTTTCCATCATCTTCCAAATTTTGTCACCAGAGCCGCAGATGGTGTTCCTGTCCAGGTAGGACAGGGGTCTTGTGGGCAGGAGACAGATGAAAGTCATTTTTAAACAGAGCCATTTTTTAAAGGCAACCTGTTAAGGGGATTTGGAGGTTGCAGAGTCGAGCATGTAAATTGGGAGATGGCCAACCTTGGTGAGGGTGTATTTGTGTTTATGAATACAGCCATTTTCTCCGATAGTTCAATCTAATACCACACAGCTTTTGTGCGCATCAAGTAATATTTGTTTGTTCTTGTGCACTTGTGCTATTTTCGCTGTTGGAGGATCCTAGTGTCTTTATTGACTTAGACTTTTATAAGATGAGGTTCTGTCTCTCTAAGGTATGTAGTTTAATAACTTGGTCAAAAACCATGTAATATATGATTTCTTTTCATGTGGCGGCACAGCTTGCCTCGTCCACCAAGCAGGGCAGGAGGCAGTTAACTCCCAAGCTAATTTAGCTCGGGGCTGAAGTGTTATACATAAACAGCAATCAAAATGCATGCCTGCGAGGGGGCTGAGTTAAGGTTATCTGTGCTGTCTTTACACTCTCATTTTCTGCCATTAGAGTGTTTAATCCTGCAGCTGCTAATGTTCTTGTAATGGTATTTCTGTGCTTGTCTAAAGACCACGGAGAGGAGGGAAGAGGAATGAGTTTTGTGGTGTGGAGCCGCTCCTGGGCTCATGTCCCTGGCTTGACTGGTCCCACCAGCACTGCAGGAGGTGGCTTCTCATCCCGCCATGGTCAGCTCTGGGGCAGTGCTTGCTCTAGAAGGTGACAGCCATGGCTCTGCAGACCACCCTTGGTCTGCCCTTGGGACCTCTTGCTGCTT